TTCTAAGCTCCTTTAGAAATGTATGTTTTACAATATAAATCGACTTTTCTTTCCTTTTGTTACTTGTTTATATAAGTCTGTAAAATCTTTTATGTTCCATTACAAAATGACCAAAATGCATCCTGGTACCGCGAAAAACAATACACGCTCAAACATATTGACTCTTATATGTTCTTATGAATGAAACATGACATGTTTTATACAAACCATTTAGATAATGAAAATTATAACGTGACTTTCCACTACCCTGCTTAGGTATTTTAAATATTTGTGGCGATTTAATATGATATTATAATAGGAGGTAGAGCACATAAAGTATCGACTTTGCGGTCCGGGAGTCGGGGTGCCTGGGAGTCCGGGAGACCGGGACAATTCGCGGGCGACCTTTCCCGCGCTACGTGAGTCGATTGCGAACGATAAACAACATTCTCTACTTAACAATCTACGCAACACAGATTTTATAAAACTCTTAACTTAAATTATATACAGGTGAGTTTTACTTTAGCAGGTAAACGAATTTAACTAAATTTTGTAACTTATTCTTTACTACTTTAAGCTGCCAAGTGATAACCATTAAAATGTAGACGACTAATCTTTATTTACTGGTTACTAAAATTCCTGTAAACTTATGGTCATCTCATTATCTTTGACAAAACTATTATAAGATAACAATTTGTTTTATACTCGGATTTTAGTCTCAGAAACCAACGATAACAGTGTCTATTTTAATAAGCATATTTAATATGTACATTTTATAATCAATTAAGGAGTTTATCCGTTGTTTAAATAACTTGCATGTGAAGCGACGCTAATTAGTGACATTAGCTCGACAACAATCCGCCAACAATGCTGCAGGAAAATTGTTGTCGTTCAGACAACATTGTTAACTCTACCGTGTAAACAACAAAACAACTTTCTTGCTTTACATTTATAAATATTGGAACATCTGCAAGCTACAAAAATTAAAAATATCATCAGCAAAAATGGCTGGCACGCGACACGTGTGAGTGGAAGTGTGTTCGCATGAGTGTGCGTACCGGACTTCTAATTTTAACCTTTGCCTTCCCACTGTTTTCGTGTAAATAAGGAAAAGAAAAGATTAGATGGATTTGGTAGAGGAAGGGGAAACACATAGGTAAGGAAAAAATACTCTTACTGAGCGTCCTTGCCTATTAGATTAGATTATAGTTAGGCGACGCATCAAATGATTTGATCGGCAGTCACTTCAAAAAACAACCTTAATTCACCTGTACCCGAGATGTGACGTCAGAGGTTGGCCACAAAACAAATAAATCGTGACGCAGGCATTGAGTACGTGACCTCATTGCGAAGCCAGATTCACGCGCCGCGGTCTGGGAGTATTTCTAATAACTTTCTTACAACCATATAATCTCCTCTCCGTTTACTTTGGATAAATTATGTAAAGTAATATCATCCATTTCCATTCTCGAATATCAACTAATCATATTTACATACCTAACTGACAAAGATATCTTTATTAGTATTTAATAAAGTTAAATTTATCGTTTAACATAGGAATGATGATTCAAAGATATGTGTGAAGTTAACAAACGCACACAGGGACAGAGTGGTTGACTATGGCCATCCCTTAGTGTATGCACCTATCCCACCAGTGATGACGTATAGTGAGCTGATGATAAAAGAAAATCCTTTTCTTTATTGACACTCTTCTAGTATCTAGTTTGTGTATTTTTAAAATGTGTATGTGCAAAAACATATTGATAAACAATAATGTAAGTTGATTTAACAATCTTGATAGTAGAACTTACAATTATAAAGTACATGAACAAAATACTTGAAACATAAATAAAAACCCCACTTATGTATATCTATTATATATAAAGACAGTGAGATATTTTCGTGACGTTCAGTCTATTTGACGTTTACATAAATAGCATTCAGTCAACTGTTTTGTTATTATTCATGAATTATTATCATAGAAACAGGTTTCGCGCGTCCGTGATGCAAATCTGAGCCACAACCAGCCAGCAATATTCCTAATATGAAACTAACACATCTTTTGCAGCGCTACGAATAACTAATTGAATTAAAAGTAAAAAAACTCCTTAGTAAAATGTGTTTGTTAACGTTATTTTGAGCTCAGTCATATATATATATATATATATATATATATATATATATATATATGACAGCGACAGCGACAGCGAGATATATATATATATATATATATATATATATCTCGCTGTCGCCCACCACTGCGTCCGCGTGCAATTAAAAAAAAAACATAGTAACCTTTGCATTCTTCCCGGCTATGTTCTGCATGTATACCAAATTTAATCCAGATTCGTTTAACCGTTCTGGAGATACCTTCTAACAAACATCAATACATCCAGTCATATTCATAATGTTATCAAAAGTAAATTAAGATTTTTTGAAATGTTTTATCAATAAATATTTGATTTATCTTACTCGCAAAGCTCTCATCTGTTGCAAAGCAGTAAATCGAAACCTAACAATAATTGCTTACTGTTTTCTCTATCAAAGTAATATTATACTTTATTTTTAAAGTAAACATTGTTCTTAATATAAAATTGAGATTAGCATGCAGCCATGTTCATTATTACACTGAGGTTACATTAATGTCGGTGTCGGGTGTTGGGTGTCGGGTGTCGGGTGTCGATAACAGTAATCATATACACATTAGTACACATTTACTAATCGAAATATAAACTCTGATCGACACGAGTTATGTTAGGAAATCAGCTATTAACCTCACGGCAACACGCAATCAAACACATGTATATATACACATACACATATGTACATATATATCTGTATATCATCAATGTTTTTAATAAAGAATGAAAAGATAGAAAGTTATTGATGGTGGTAGAGATGGGTAGGAAAGGGTAAACCTGCTCTATATTCAACTTGTGTATCTATTATATTAAAGGAATATGATACAATTAGCTTATTACGGACTCCTACAGATATTGGGAAGTAGTCACTTAAATAATCCGTTGTTCATCTTTCTTATCTCATCTTGGATTGTTGGATGGATATTTGTTAGAAGGTATCTCCAGACAGGCTGTATGGATCCTGCTGAATTTCAGCATGGGCGTAGAACATAGGACGTAGAAGCATTCGCGGGGGAACAGATAGCATTCTATATTTAAAAACTCCTTTGTTTATGAAAAACAAATCGAAAATGAAATCCTTAACGGTGTTTAGTTTGGCGAGAGCATTACTTCGTTCTGCTTTTATAGGAAATGCTGACTTTTCCTTACATTAAAAGTTTGGAATGGTTTCGGTTTGGGGAGATGTGTAAACTGGTCACGTAGTATAGCGATGTCGGTTTTATGTTCGATTGCGTCAGGTTTGCCGCGGGAATTGAATTACGACTATCAATTCCAAAGAATCGTATCTTTGAATACATTTATTTGGCTTTGTTGTTACAAAATCTATAACTGAAACAAACACATAACATCTTAGGTCTTACTAATATTATAAATGCTAATGTTTGGATAGATGGATGGATGGATGGGTTGATGGATGTTTGTTAGAAAGTATCTTCAGAACGGCTGAATGTATCTTACTAGCCAGTCTATTAATAATCCTTTTAAAAACGAGGTGATGAAAATAATATAATACTTTCGTATTTATTTTATAAATAATGTAATACAGTTATGTAAATATATAAAAGTAAATGTTTTACGTCATTGTTTTACAAAAAAATATATAAATAAAGCGATGTAAAAAATTAAGTAATCCTTACACAATGTCTTAAGTAACAAATGGTCTGTCTTTACTTTTTAATAAACTTAAGAGCTCTTAACTTATTTTCAATCTTGTTGTTTTATAACTTAATGGATATTACATTTTAGTAAGAAATAAATACGTCTTCTTTCCTTCTTACTTATATTACAAAGTTTCCTAAATCCAATATTTAATTAATAGAATACTTTCTTTTGATTGTAGAAAATTGTTCTTATTATCGTAGATATTTTGATTTTAATTTACAATACATTATTTTTATATACATCAATATTCTCAGACAGTAATGATGTCAAATGTTATGACAATTTAGTTTATTATATTATGTCAATAGATGGCGGAACATATTGTTTAGATCGCGCTATCAATTTATTTAGTATATTTATCGACTTGCCGATCGCATTTAATTAAAGTTGACTCGCACCAAGATATAACCAGTGTTTCATTGTAACTACTCGATACATCTCCAGTGAGAGGGAGACTTTTGAAATGTTCTATTATTAGAGCGATATGAAATGATCTTTCTAATAATAGAACTATGTTAGGATTGAGTGGTTTTGGTCTAGGATACTAGTTCTTTAAAGGTAGGGCACGCATTTGCGTTTTAACTCATTCTAGGTGACTACGAACAGACATCATTAATTAATCAAGTACATAAATGTTACTACTAATTCATGAAAAAAAAAATCATATTTCGAAGTTATATAAAAACACCTTGATTTATTCCTCATCGATGGCAAGTTAACTCCTCGTTCGGAATTCATAACGAAATCAGTTCGAGTGTTGAACTTGTGAGTTCAGATTTACTTTGACTTCGACAGTTATTGCGCGTCTGACAGTTACGTGGGTCCGAAACACTCGCTGAATGATTAAGTACCAAGAAAGAAGTTAAAAGAACAGCTGGCCAGTTGTCAACGACTTGAATAACTACAAAACATAAATCTGTGAGTTTCCACTGACCATACTTTTAATCCTTCTTTTATTAATCCTCCAAACCTAATTTTAGTCGTCTTTTTCTTCCCAACCTTTTCGTATAAGAAAAGGATGGAAAGGGGAAGTGGATTTGGCGGAGGAAGGAAGCAAAGGAAGAAAAAATTTTGACTTTCTGCAGAGGGAAGCAATATATTTGAAATTGCAGATGTGTATGAGCAACCGTCACTTCGCTGTTTCGGCGAATTAAGGTGGCATATGTTATAAAACAAAAACGTTTTGTTCTTTTTTACAACTTTAATATAAAATCATTTGGTAAGACTATTCCATTCTTTAAGGCAAACTAAAGTACTTATTTCATATATATTTATTATGAGATACGTATGTATATTAATATTAAACAAGGTATCATTGTTAATGATGAACATAAATAGTCGTTACCTGAATTTATAAGACATCAGTTTTAGACATTTACAATGTATTATAATAATCCCCGCGGCGGCGGCGGCGGCGGCGGCGGCGGCAGAGCGTAATATTTCAACTTAGACTCGTAATACATTTTAATATAATACAATACAATATTCCCCAAAGCTTGTGCTCTCTCCTCCTACAATTTATAACACAAAAAATTCTGTTTAAAAAATATTTTCTAAATTAAAAAGGTCATGACATTTGCGAAGAGCGTCTACAGTCTATGTGACTCGTCCGGTGTCTCTACGGGACTGCGAATGCAATGCCAGCGGTAGTGTTATGAAATCAGACAATTCATATTAAAGTTTAATTGTATGCAGATATCAAATGTAAATAACAGCCAGTGATTAAAGTAAATTAAAAAATTAATAAATATAAACTATTATATCAATTTCTTGAATAATTTGTTAGTTGACAATAATCAAAACATTCAAATGAAGTGTTTCCTGTTCTAGAGTTGCCTACATTCAACGTGAAGTCACGTCTGTCGATTATGTGACGTCACACATGTAACACGGGCAGACTGCTGGGCGTCTGGTAGTAGTGCGGAGTATCAGCGAGCGTAGTGGCGCCGATGACGTCACCCGCAGCCACCAGCAGCAGCCGCCGACGTCGGTGGTGGCGCAGCAGTGACGTCACCGTGGGGAAGCTACGCTCGCCGCGTCTCGCGAAACCCAGCGCCAGCCGGCCGTCCGCACGCCGCCGCACGCCCACGTTATGCACCGCGCCGCCGCATGATACGCTCAAAGTGTACGCGTGGTTGGGCTGTGAATGAAAATTGAATAAATGTTATTTTCTTCAGTTCCTAATATATCGCCGCCATCATCATTGAAATACAGGTTGTAACAATAATGCAGAGAGATTTTAAATTAATTTCAATTTATCAAATTTACAAAATTTAAATCTCAATCCGAAAATAAATTATCGTAAACTTTCAAAAAAATTAGAATAGCTGTGTTCTGTACTTGTCTATTTTTTCACTTTACTTTAGTTCAACACGATGGAAAGGCTTGGGATTGTAAGAAAAAAGTAAATAAAACAAGCAAAGGGTTGACAGGGGTAATAAAAATAAAATCACTCGGGACCTTCCGATAGAGATCCGGTCGAGCATAAAATAGGACAGCACTTTCAATGATGTAGGAATTTCTTGATTCCAAAGCGAAAGGAATTGGCATCCGCGAGACATGTTTGTTTTACGAGTTTGCGGCAGTTTGTGGCAACTTTATGTTAGCCGGGTGACGTGACGCAGTGTGCGTATACACGTATCAATAAACATACGAGTACAGAACCTTTTTTATGTTAACACGATCAGGTTGATTATTTCGAAATGTCAGTAGAAAGAAACTGCGACTGTTGCCTATTACTGTCAAGTCGGAATTCACAGGTTCTGCGGAATTAACGCTTCTTTATTTTTAATCATCACAAAGGATTATAAACAACGTTTAAGACGACATTTAACAAACAAGAGCATTAGAAAAGAACGTTCTGTATTATTTCGGGATGCTTGATTTAAAAAAGCAAAGGTCACTGACCTGACTGGAAGGTCTAAGCACAAATGTCCCATCAGGTTGTCCACGAAGCAGGTTCTCAGCCTCCGCACGATCCACGTTCATATAGAAAGGCTCGTTTTCGACGGGCACCGGCAGAGGGCGCGCCGCCATGTTGCATGTCTTCTTCGTACTCCATTTGTCATCGCACTCTTTTGAATCCGTCTCTGAATCTTCGGAATGAGTTCCGTCATTTGTTTCTACAAGAAATTAACATTAAAACAAGTTAATAAAATCAATGGATTTTGATAATAATGCCTGACGTGACAATGTTAGAAAAATTTTTCTTTATACGCAAAATACTATTAGAAAATTAAGGCATTGACTCTTATTGAGTTTGATTTTCAACAGAAATGATCAAAACTCGTAGGAATCAGATTATAAACTGCTATACTGTGGTGTTAATACCATAATTAGAGTAGTCAAACGGCCACTTTAAACCGTTTAGTATAGATTCGTATTGCGGTCAGAACGCGCTAGAAGATCCTCACATGAAATGTACATTCAGGAATTGTTAGCTATTTTGTGAATGTGAGAACAGCAATAAGTCTGACCTGCAACAACGTCAGTGAGACAATGGAAGAGACGATAGAAGATGTCCACTGCGTCTTCGACGACGCGGGATCCCAGGTTGTGGACCAGAGGTACGCTCACTTTGATCCACCAACACATCCTTGTTACTTACAACATTGTCACTACGTTGATTTATTTATGCGTTCAGTATTGTTCCAAATTTATACAATAGTAAATTTATATACTGAGACTTATTTAAAAAAATCCATGTTTATCCTCAATCATGATTAGGAACGTAATTATCTCTTTTCAGGAAATAAATTGTGCTAGTTTCGAAAAGCTTTACTGTGCTGTTTACAAACAACTAAATCACTGTTTATATTTATACTCAGAGTTTTTGGCCTTTAGTGTATGTACATTTTGCATTAAAAAAACACATAACATCAATTTTTTTATATATCATAATCGAGTATTATTTTATCCATGTACCAGGATAACATAAAATCAAGGATATTGATCTGAAGGTTACGTTAGGACAGGATCGTTTAGGCAGTAGATCATCCTCCAGTGTCGGCAGTTAGTCACCATTAATTACACTAGTCAGTCGCTAATGAATCACGGCTAGGTGTTGGCGGGGAAGGGAAGGGGGCGGGGGGGAGGACGGTTGCTAGGCAACGGAGTACACACAGCGCGATGACAGAACCTCGATCTTCGTTAACGCCAGATTATGATGGAGTGAGCTTAAGTTGAACACAGACACACTGGTTATGAAGCTTTTTAAAATACATTGAATAAAGCGTTATTTCACATTAAAAAAAATTAAGTGATGTTATCTATTCGTGTATCAGTACTATGGTTTTTATTAATATTAAAGAAACATTTAAACACTTCACTGGTGCTTTCAACACTTTTCTTATAACTTTCTACTTCAAACAATATGCTTTCCTACTGCCGCGTCGCATCTCAACTAAACATGTCCCGTCCCACAAACAAAATGTTTTTATTTCATCTCATTAATAAAAATTCTACGACAATACACTAGTGATGTGTCTATTATATCGATATGAATAGGTAAATTTTTGGAGTAATTCGAAATATAAATTTAATAAAACGTTACTTTAGAACATAAGGTGAACTATCAACAAGTGAAATCATAAAATAAATCTAACTAAGACTAGTGATTAACTTGAGTACTGTATTCCAGTGCCAACTGATTTGACATTTTAATAGTTTTTGTAAAAACAAATATATTGTTTAGTAAAAGAAATGTACTCAAAAATAAATCGATTAGAAAACAATAAATGAATATTTATTTTATCGACAAATAACCGACTATCATATTCACATCACTTCACACATGTCGTCCACATGATGTTTCAAGAAATAAAAACAAAATGTCGCGCTTGTAGTATGAGAAAGTTATTATTTTTACTTTTTTCCAAATTCAAATAATTTAATATTACACATATAAAAGCGTGTTATATATAATGTCATAAGATACTATTGCTATTATCTTTTTGCTATTAAAATACACTAGGCGTATCGTTTTTATTCCGCCTCGGCGATTTTTGCGTATTCCAAATTGACGGCATGAATTATTAAACGTCAGCGCTCGCTTACCGCCGCTGTACCCTCCCCCTCCCCCCCGCACCCGCTCCCCGAGCCTCTGCTAGCTACATCTTATTAGATTTCGCTAATTTAATTGTGCGAAGTCGAGCTTTTGAGCGGAACGGCCGCAATTCACACCGTGACACCAAACGTCACGTAATATTAAAATAGTACCGTAAAAGATGTAAAAAATCGAAATGTCCTAATATTCTTTTAACAATATCTTTAAGAAAAGACTTAATACATACCTGAAAATTAATCTCATTAATTGGTTTATCGCATTAAACTTCAAAATAGTCATATCAGTGACGGTGTGACAGGCAGCCAGTAAGAAATCCGTGTCGGAAATTATGTCGAATAGCATTATTCGTTATTATCATCATTTCCTCGGCTGAAGCGCACTTTGGGGCGCGCACTATCCGCGGTGACGACATCACGCATACGGACCGATGTGTCTTACCTCCCCCCCCCCGGCCCGCACTTAACGCCTCAGACTCCAACACCCTCGCGGCCTTCGGGACCTTTTAGCCACAGTGTATCTTTAGTTATTTGACCTCTATCTCATCATATTATGTGATGTCTCAAGCTTAGATATTATGTAACATAATTCACTGAAGTACTTACTTGAATAAAAATACAGAGTGTCTTACTGCCACGTTCAGACTTCTTAAATAGTCTAATGGATGGGCTTAATGTACATTTTATTTAAGAAATACACTCTTCTTGTGGCAGTTAGTCTAACAATCTGTTCGAGTACACGTAAAGTCGAGTATATTCCATACGTTATACTACTACAAAATATTTAGTTTATTTTCTAAATTAGTGGTTTGGACATGTTATGCGGAGAGATGATGATGATATAAGCAAAAATGTAATGAGATTGAATGTGGATGGGTACTAAGGTAGAGGAAAACCAAAAAAAGTATGGAATGACTGTGTGAAAGAGGATATGCGTAGGAAGGGGTAGATTCGGATATGACGACTGATAGAGATGTATGGAGGAGTAGTTCTGTTTCTGTTTCTTGTTTATGGCTCTCCCTCATCGGATGTCAAGTGCTTATAGGAGGAGTAGTACATACTGTGCCAACCCTCAATAGGGATAAGGGCAGGTTGATGAATGAGTTACTGCTTGTACTATCAATCTATGGCAGTTGGTTGATGCACAAACAACAGGGGGTCGACAAAGAAAAATAGAGATTTAGGAATTAGAACACGAAATATCTCTTTTTTTAAACATACTTAAAGAATGTCCAACGTGTCAAATGCATAGACTGATGATGACAAAAAGTTTCCATTGATTTAATCTGTTACCTCGTCTGATTCTGAGTCTATTCTCGAAGTAGTTCATAATGTAGCCCAGCAGGGATTCCTCGTGGCGACGGCGCACGTCGCAGTACTCCTGATGCAGCTGCACCGGCTCCAAATACTCCTCCACTGGCAGAGTCTGCAAGCAATTGAACTTTCTAGTGACTAATATTACTGGCCGTGGCGATAAAATATATTGGCAGGACTTGGGCGTGATTCTGTTACAGTGTGGTATTATTTTTCCCCGATATATTTTATGGAATAAACGTGATGGTTAGGAGATGAATTTCAACAAATAAAATTCATGACTTTTGTCTTAACAAATCAGATTATAACGAAATTTGTTTCATCCGTAGTTAATGTTTTTTTTGAAGCAAACCAAGAAATTATGTAATTAAGGAGCGGACAGGCATCTCAAATTATGTTACCGGCTTACAGAAAATACGTAAAATCTTTCCCAAGATTTTTGTGACTTGAAAAGATCAAATTAATTTATATGAGGGATGTTAATTGAAAAAAATATAGAATAAATGATAAAGAAAAACTTATTTTAAGACATTTTTATTAAGGTGTATAAAAGATAAATAAAATTATATGAAATTTCGTATATTATTTAAATAGTAACTACTTACATGTTTATCTTCTTTACTCTCAACTTTGACATCATCATTCATTACATGTATGGAGTCATACATATTTAAAACACTGTCGTTATTTTCATAAATATTTATGTCTTTCTCTTCCTTAGATATTTTTCTAGTCGGCAGTACTTCTTCGCTTTTCCTAAAGAAAGGAAATTTGAAAGACTGAAAAAGCTCCTGAATCTTCACCATGCAAGGCTTAACTTGAACTCCTTGACCACTAGATGGCGTTTCTTTTGTATCGTTAATTTTATTCATTTCATTATAATTTAAATCTTCATAAAAATGATCTTCAATAATATTGTCTGAAATCGGTTCTGGTGATGGAAGAGATTTGTATTTGGTTTTAATTTCTTGTTTTTTACACGCCTTTGGGATACAGTAACGGTTTGATTTAACTGAATAGTATCCTCTGTCTGTGTTATTTTCTATTTTCGAAAATCTTAATCGAATGTCGAAGAAAGGATATTCGTATGAACTGAGGCGGAAGAAACTCTTCTTCTTTGTAGTTCCTGCGTCCATCGGCAAATATGACGTCACGGCTTTCTCTGTTCTCTTCTGCTGATTTCTGTAAAGGAAACTCTTAGCAGGTACAATCTTCTTCAATATTTCTTCAACTGTATTTAAATTGACTTCTTCTCTCGTCTTTCTTACAGTGACCGTCTGGTATTGACTTTCTGGACAAATATTTGTCTCCTTGCTTACTTTGATTATCTCCTTTTTGGATTGTGGTAAAATCATGTACTTATCGGGGTTTTCTTTTAAATCGTTAACGAAAAGTAGAACCTTTTTTGCATCAGCCTTTGGTTTCCATAGCTTTAAAATGCCTTCTGTAACATTCTGTAAAATAAACAAAAGCATAATTATTGAAGAGTAGAAAAACATTTTTTTCTTTTCGAAACGATTTTTAGGACGATGGCGTAATTTGATAGTAGGTAAGAAAGTTGGTATTCAAGAGTAATATAGTATGCTTACAACTTATGTGTTACATTCACGTTTCTCATGCCCTGGTAGCAATGATCCTCTCGGAAATAGAGAACAAGTAATCAATTATGAAGTTCGTCGGCCGCCGCTTCATTAGCCGGCTTGTTTGATTGCCGTTGTCTTTGATCTAACTGGAGCGTATGATGCTGATACTTGCGAGTGATCGCACTAATCGTATTGTATCAATTATTTGTTATTTAATGAATCCTTTACTTGAAATAGTTAATTTTGAATGCTTGACTTGTGATGTGTCATCATGTTTAAATGTTTCAACCAAATCATGGTGTCACATCATGATTGCCTTAATTGTGTTAATTAATCAAGTCTCAAAACGTTGTAAGATCACTTCTTTAATTCATTATAACTACTTTTATACATGAATTTCTAGAAACTCTATCATAAATATATCTGTCTGTAAGAAACCTTACCAATAATTTTTTTCCATCCAATTGCTTTTCTTTCACAAATTCACAAAACTCTTCCATCTCCCATCGCTGCAACACCGATAGAACTTCTTCGTGACTCCATTCTTCCACTTTTTTTGAGATATTCACTGGTTCCATATTTCACACAAGTAGATAAACAGATCGAATATCTAATTTCAAATATTTAAATCATTATTTATTTAACTTTCCATTTGTTGCATAATTAATTAAAAAATATTGGGGTTTTCCTTTAATTTAGACTATTTAGCACTATAAGACAGAAAGTAGGAACAGCCAAAATCGATTACAGGAATACTTTCAAAGACTTCGCCACACTTCATCACACCATAAGACATCACAAAACGCGTGCAATATTCACTATAATCAAATGTGAGAGGACGGAGCAAAGCTACTAATTAGAGTCCACACAAAGCGACCTCTCCAGCCTCAACCGTCGTCGTCACAGTATGAGTGGCCAACTCGAGCCTTCATTTGCTTGATTGGACGTCTGTGTTTGATCTGCACATATCACATACATAGTATATCAAACGTTTTATCAATCAGACGTGCTAATTTACTACACACACGTTACGTATTATTTTACTTTGTGTATTCAACTATGGTTCTAATTAGTTACTACTAAATAGTATCTTGTAACTTGTAGTATACAGTTGGTCAGATGATTACAATGGATACTTTTAACATATAAATTTTATGAGGTCGCGACCTCCATTTTGACCTGTCCCTGCGCTCCTAATAAGGTAATATAGCTCTCCCCACTTGACCTCATATTATCGAGTTATTCCTAAACATGTTAGAGCCGTGAGGTTGATGGTGATGTGCACATATATCGCACACAGACATCAAATTGTTTATTATCTTAACACAGTAAGAAGCATGCAGATAATAGAAACGGCATGAAGAGTTTGAACAAAAGATTCACATACTCGCCTCATAAAAATAAAGCTAATGCTTAATAGGAAAAATATTTATTTCTAAAATTACTTGTGCTGGTTTAACAGGGTTGTGTGGTTAATTTTTAGACTTATGACGCACCGATCAGCGCCCTGCGTGGTCGCTCAACTGTCTTTCCTCCTGCATTGAAGTAAAGGTCCTTTCAAGACCCAAATATTCAACAAAATTATTGTTAGTTGTTTGTAACGCTTCCTAATTTTTGATATAAGAGTATGTTACTTCCGAATATACGTATAAAGTCGTGTTCACGGTATGTACGTGGCGTTATCAAAGTGCAACAAGGGTCAACTGTACGGATGATGTCATTCATTTAGATGTCTGACATGTTTCGCACTCCTTCCCACAATAGCTGGTACTTACTACTCTACAATAATAATTGTTTATTTGCACCTTACTGTGTGATTCAGTTATTTTTGTTACAATCAATAGTCATATTACGATAACCTTAATTTATTTTTTCGATATCGTCGACGTTGTCAACGCTATTTAAAGAAATACAAACAATGAAAAATTATCCGGGTTTTCTTCAACTGATTACAATATAATGAAGATACATTTCTGTCTGATATCTTAAATACAATGAAAACACAAATAATTTATAAAGGCATTTATTTATACATAGAATTAATATTTACAAAACTATATTACTTACTAATGTTCAGACAATATCAAAATTCCGTTTATTTTATCAGCGCTTATCGATGTAAGATAAAATTTCACGCAAAACATTTGTATACTGTTATATAAATTTTATCTGTTGTATAAATTTGTTTATATTGTTCACTGTGAGCTCATCAAAAGTTCAACTAATCCTGCAGAGGACGTCGTACATCTTGTGCACGACCTCTGCGCCGCCGAAGCCTATGTAGCACGCGTTGTGGCTGGGATGCACCTTGCCCGGTGTGATGGACAGCTGGTGCCGCGCCCGGCCGATGTACAGCGTCTCCCCGGATATCGTCTTCCCCCCAGGAATAGCGCCGGGAGGTACATTTCCATTCGACGCCGGTACCCATCGCAGATTCTCTGGCTTCGCGCAGAGTACTTCAATGTTTTGCGCCGGAATCTCCTTCCCATTGTACATGACGGATGCCGCGTTGTGTCTAACCGACAGCTTACCGGGGATCAGGTCCCCGTTGTGCCAGGACCGGATCACCCAGAGCGGGCTTCCGTCCCAACCCTCGTGGCCGCCAAGCACCGCCTTGCCTGTAAGATGTCCTGCCGTCGTCGCGGTCGTGGGTATCCAATCGAAGTCTCCCGAACTCTCAGCTACCTGTACAGGCTCGGAGCTCGTGGCGGCTGTCTCTCCGTGATATATGTAGTTGGTTATATAAGTAGGTTGGCTGGGGGGCTCATGTGGGATCGGCACTGGTACCATCATGGTCCCCGGCACGAAGTAAGGGTAAGGAGCGGGCTGACCGCTCTGACTTTGATCTGGCGCCGGGGGGTACTGGTGCGAATGCTGAGGGGGTTGATAGGTAGATGGAGGAGGTGGATAACTGTAAGGGGGAGGAATAGGCCAAGGCAGTTGTGGGGCGCCGTAGTACGGGGGTGGCGGTGGGCCGTGCGGGGGGTAACTCATTTTTACACAACTTTTATATGGAATCAAACGTAACAGACACCTGTCGCACCAATTCACCAGTTATAGAAAGTACTAGTGAGTGTTATCTTTAACCAAATTATTTATAGAGCTCGCGATCTGATATCTTATCTCGGTCAATGATAAACCTGTCCACATTCGACACATCGATTTGATTCATACAATGTTAGTCATCATTCCTTGTATTTCACAAAAACAATGTAAACTAGAACATAAGTAACTGCCAGCTGAGAATTCTTGTATAGAAATAACGTATTGATCAATATAAATAATATGTATAAAGAAAACAATATCTTGCTTTAAATATATTTTATTTTCATTTACAATTACCCCTTAACAAATAATTCAAATAACTTAATTGTATATAAATTAAGTTAGTCATGTTACACTGATACTATTTCAAATTTTATAAAATTCGATGTTATTAATTATTGTCTTCAGTAATGTGGTTATTTATTTTATTTACACGCTTATCAATTAATTATACAATTTAGAAATAAAGAAACTACATGAATGTTTGGAATGTTTAAAAAGTTAATACAATTCGATTAAAACTTATAACAAATATTTTCCAAACAATAAACCAATTGAGCACCTAATACGAACTACTTGTATTATGATATTGTCGCACTCATATGAGTAGTTCAGGTAAACTGTTGTAAAAATGTCAGAAGAAAGATTTTATTTTGAACACAATCTCAACAAGTGAAACTCAGAAATAGACACCTCGTGTTATTTTCACCACTTGCATTTAGAAGTTGGGTTCCTGATATAATAAAAGCTTTAACGTTATTCTATAAGTAAGGTGGGTTTGTGCTTAAATGTTGCACAACTATTTCTCTATTATTTTATTTATTCTTATATACAAATATTCATTGTCTTTTTTGTTTGTAAAATTTAAATTCAGCTTGGAACCATATCAACACCGTGACAAGAGATTTTCAATGACATTATGTCATACGGCGATGTCACAATGTCAGATAAAGAGAACAGCAAGTCAAGTTATGTCAGGATGTCAGGTGAGTACGACCGCGCGGAAGACGCAGCGGTTGCCGTCCATGAGGGCGGGCCACACGAAGGACTTGATGAGGTCTGAGCGCTGCGAGCTGTTGCTCAGCCGCACGTGACGCTCCAAATTCATTACCACTGCAATTCCACAAACATATACATTTTTATGTCTTCATGATTGTGATGAAACCACGCAGCGGACGTCTATTTTATGAATATAGCTGTATGTGAATACAGTGAAGGTCATTTACTAACAACCCATTTCAGTGATTTGTCATTCAATATTCAAAGTGTAACAATTGTCGTTGCAAAGTTGAAGTTGAAGAAAATTAAATTACAACTAAATAAGGTATAGCTTGTGATAATTCGCTCTATAATGTTCAATCTTAAAAGGGATGCGAATTTAATTCTTTAACATTAATACATGCATAGTGCAAGAATTCACAAAGACGATTAAATTTCAGTTTATGTGTATACTTACCAGGCGTGAAGTCAGTGTCGATGCGCAGTGGCGGCGCGTGCAGACAGAGCGGCCAGGCGGCGCGGCAGCAAGCGGCCGCCAGCGCGTGCAGCGCGCCACAAGACTGCAGGCACGGGTACTCTCGCAGCGTGCTCACCACCTACACACATCACAACACAGAGCTGATATCACGTACGATACAACTTGTAACAATATTACACATTGTGTAACTCTACATTTGGTACTATATCTAAGAAGCCGGTAGCTTTATTTGACCGTAATATCACGTAAATTACTAAGTTTATATTGTCATGATATGTACAAAATCGAATATAATTAATAGTACCTGGTTAATAACAGTCCTCTCTGCCTCCCCGAGAGGGAAGGTATGCGCGGTGCTTCGCATCAGCCGGGTTGCGGCAGCAACAAAGCTCGCGACCGCCGGGGAGCTGGCCCCATCTGCGCCCAACAGCGCTTTGGCCTCCGCGAGGCGCTTGTCGCGGAGACTGATCACTGCGCGGAATGATAGCTGCGGAAATGTCACGTTATACTGGTCAAAAACAAGCGCCTGTCAATAGATATTCGCAAATTATCTCTGGCTTCTTTTGCTTGTAACATTTAAGAGATATTATTTTATGCTTAGTATATTGATAATGTAAGGTAATGTAAACTTACGACAACGACAGAAAAGACGATCTTGTACTTGAGATGGGGTGTGGCCTGCAACGGTTCGAGCGCGGCAAGCGCCGGCAGCACCTCTTCCGCGGCCATCGCCCACACCGCCGCGTACTGGGATACCAGCGCACTCCTGAAAAACACACACCGGATTCAAACAACAGCATAACTCACGACCGTAACCCAGAGAGATAAGTTAAGATGGACTGCGTTTTGATGCGGTCTCTCTACCTACACCTCTCTCGCCTCTTCCACATTCATGCAATTACGGATACCTGCACTTCGGTTTCTGATGCTCTACCGCCCGCCCTTCTTTAGTATTTCTTCAATCTGGACATATTGTATCTATTTGTTGTGTAACTACCCACCTATCAGGCTGCTGCTGTGAGTCATCACTGTCGGAATGGTAGCCGTCACTGGCGGAGTCAGCGTGCGAGCGTGGTGCAGCCTGCTCCGCGCTCTCCTCCGACATCAAGCCCAGCACGGCCGCGCAACCACGGGAGTAACTCATCAATACCCCAGCTACCGGCCTGGAAAAGTTATAGGGAACTTACGTTAGGCAACACTGATCGAAGTCTTCTATTCAACTAGTCTACTTATAATATTCGGTCTAGTACAGATACAGCAATTATATGGTTATGCCGACTGATTCCAAGATGAAATATCTTTTTTTAAACGAGTAGTGGAAACACCGAGGTGTTTGTCGACGCACATGTACATCCGGAGAAAAACTACAGATGTATTGCCGATGTACACTGCTTCCAAAAAATATATCTATCTTTTATTCTTTCAAAAAGAAAATGAACACATCTTGCGATATAATGTAGCTACAGATGGGATGAATGGATTTCTATTGCATATCTACACTCAACTGCGAATACATTAACTTTACCATCATTAACTCTGTACTCGTACATACAGTGAAGTACTCGGCGCAGTGCGCGCGCACCCACGCTCTTACAAACGCAAATTTCACGCGCGTAATATTTACAAAGTAAAAGCGCACAAGAACAAAATGATTGCATCACATTTACAATGACTTTCCTTTCAGAGACAATCGGAGACAACTCTGGGAACGATTATATCATCACGCCGCGCGCATGGGAGCCGGCCTGTTATGTCAAATTAACGACAATAACATTCCATTATTACATGTCATAGATGAATTAAAAATGTGGGATATTTTTGTAACGCTTATAAAATCATCTTTAAGACTTAATTATTTTAACTTTTCATATATTATTTAAGTGGTAATTAAAAAGTATTGTACGCTTTTTCATAATAATTTACCGAAAATAATATTGAAAAGTTAGACCGTCTCAACCGTAGAAGCATCACGTGTTTAAAATAAAATTCTAATAACTAATCTATGATTCTGCGTTTTAACTGACAAAAACTATGTAAATTCTATCGTGATGTACAATATGTATATCACACAAATATCTGTCGATTCTTTACGTCGTTTCTAAGTTACGCACAAGTGAAAATGAAATAAGAAAACGCAACAATATCTCGACGAAAGCTCAAACAATACGCTGTACGCAACGCAACTCATAAAGAGGTTTTATTGCCTCCAATACAGTTGTGTTCGGTTAGTGTGGCATACTATAACATTGTTAACAAACTTATGCTACTACGAATTGACTCGACCAAAATACTATAACCAAATAGCGAACAAAACACAGGCGTCAAAGAGACGTTTTCTGTAAGAAGCAAATTCCAGTCTTTTTAGCAATATCTTAAAAAGAAAATTAAGAAACTTCATTGGCCACAAGAATACTCTCAAGAATTGGAGAAATCAAAAGTCATTTTCAACTTTTAACATCAAACTTTGAATAGTTTACGCAACATCTTGAATATTTTACGAATGCGTAAAAGAAAGTTAACCTCACAAATAGATGTAAACTGGAAAGTGCGGAAAGCTCTTATTTAATTCAAAGAATAGCTTCAAACATAAAGCTTTATAATTTTACATGCCTACAAATATTTGTTTTTGAAAACAATTCTATTATCTAATGGAATTAGATCTTAAATTAACTTGTAAACTTGTAACTGAATGTTTAAAAACTACTCTACCTCTAGAATTAACCTAAAATTTTAGTCAATTTTTAGTTTTATCAAAATTTATTTTTATTAAAATCTTGCAGTAAATGTATATGTTAAATCTAGTTAACATACATTACACAATAAGATATTATGTTGATATTGCATTTGACATGCATCAACATATGTGTGTATACAATGTTACGAAAACATTGTTAAATTGACGAATGTAACACTTAACTTCTCTCGCGTGACCGGCACTGACCGGCTCTCCGTCTACATCTCTACTTACGTGTACTTACACGATACAACTACAATCAACGTAACAAAATGTTACATATAACAAAATATCAAAAAAAAAACCGAATAATTAACTAAAATATGTTATTAAAAGGAGTCCCTTTAGGCAAGGTCCCGAAGATACTAGCAGCGTTCCCCCTCTGTACAGCTAAACTAATTCTTTGACCGAGGTAGCTGCCAGCTCTTCGGTCCCCTGTGATGTCGATTAATTTTATTTTATATCTTAGATTTAAGAGTTTATGTATTCATAGAAATAAGGATGTAAAAAAAAAAAAAACATAATATCCACACTAAACCATACTCATCTTCGTCTGACTGACTGTCAAAATGACTTATTAAAATTTCGTGGTATTTCCCCAAAATGTTATAATTGTTTGATATTTAACTTTACTCTAATAAAATCTGTAAATCTATTCCAGCTAAACATTAATGAAGCGAAAAACCACTGTTAATAAGTTCCCTACTGAAACTCTCGTAAACATTTACATCTCAATATCAACATTCAAGTTTTAAAACAAAGTATTCTTTAACTAAAGATTATAAATTTTTCATGCAAATCAAAGTTTAAGCGTCGCCTTATTATTTTATCATTTGGCATTCGTGTTCCCGTGACGATATCACGCCGCGTGAACGGAACTAAGATAGCAGATATAAAAACAGTTAATGTATGAGAGCGCAAACATCCGACTGTCACGCAACACAAGCCTTAACGCAGATTACATCACATCATGCTGATGATTGTTTGAACTCGGCGATGGTAAATAGGTAGGAAGACTATAGTGATCTAGATAAATAAACACACTGACTGAAGCGCTATTTTATAAATAGATTAGTCAAGTCGCCATATAAACATCTGAATAACTTATAGACTGACAAACTATGTGACCCGGTGGGTATAAGTGACAAGATTGTGACCTACCTCGTGTCACTAAGATCCAGCGTAGGGTCTGTCCGTTTGATTTGTCCGACACATGCGAGCACGGCCTTGTCACTTTCAACGCGCGCGGCCAGCTGAGCTACAAGCGTGGGCAGCTGGCGCAGCGCCGGCTTGTCCACCGCCGTCAACAGGGACTTGTTGTCGATCAGCCGCCGCTCCACGTCTGCGTGCGACAGAGACAGCAGACGCTGGTGGGACGAGGAGGCAGGGTCGCTGTGTAGGGTAACTGGTGACTGCAAAATAAGCATTAACAATGATAGAGTCCGCAGCAGCATTAGTGTAATACCACGACCGCACGGAAGACAGGTTCTTCTTCAAGAATAATAAATAAGTATAGAAAGGGTAGATGGTATTAACGGGGAAGAGAGTGAGTAGGAAAAGGAATTTATTGTCCAAAAAAGGTTAGACAACCTATCTAGAACACAATATGTTATAGCAATTTCTCAATCTCTAACCTTTTTTGAATAAGGTTGAGTAATTCTTAGATCATAGCATGGAGCATAATTATGTTACATGTTACGAATCTTGTAACACTTTGTTACGACAAATAAAAACTCCTACAATAAGTATGATGTGTGAGAGACGCGACGATGTAACAAATCAAACATTTATAAGTAGCAACACGTTACCTACGTGACTAGAGTTACATAAACTTTACCATGTTATCATACATTTAACTTGCTTTTTGTTTTGTGTTATGATACAAGCTGAGTAAGCTATGGAAACGCGATGCCACAGATACAATAAACAATGACGTCATCTTAGTAATTTATCACACAACAATACTCAAGCTAACTAATTGATTTACATTCCTATGTCCATAGGCTTATCATTATTATAAAATGAGTGTTTTTTTCAAACGCATATTTGGTATTTTATCCTTTGCATAAAGTCAAGTTGCAGTCCTTCCATTCCACTTTTCTAACAAGAAAAGGATGGTGAGGGAAGGCCTATTTGGTGGGGATGATTATATCTCTTCTGTGTATCAAAGATCTTCTGCATCATTTTAACTTTTTAACAGATGTCTACGGAGACTGATCACTTCACACATGACGACCGCTATCTCGTATATTACCAGTAAGAGTACGTGTAGCGAAGTATTACCAGTTCCTCCAACTTGTGCAGAGCCTGCTTGTAGACGTCGACATGTCGCTGCAGTTCATTCTTCATTGCTATGTGCAGCGAGATGAGCGTGCCCGAAGAGTCCGCAGTCAGACCGTGCGTACCCAGTCCTACGAACAATAACCAAGTTATGGTTACTAAAAGAGATCCTTAGTGTAGATTTCTCACACATCTTATAAACTAATAGGGACTAGGACTCTGAGTACGGCAGTTAATGCTCTTCATGAAAATAGGATTGTTTTCCATTGGGCCGACTGAATATGATCTCGCAATTGAGGAAGACTATATAAATGAAATTAGATACTAAAAGTCCTGACTAAATAACAGTTTCGATATAATTTAATATAATAAAGTCTAAATAACAAAAGAAAAACCAATATTTAAATAATGTTGATGAAGGTGACCCATAACTAATTTCAAAGTTAGAGACGCGTTATCGCATCCGGTACAAAGGGAAGCAGGCTTCGAGGCTTCCTCAATGGCAGAGTTACCGCAGGCTCTATCACAATACCGATCTATTATAAAGGCCTTCGACACCGGAAACACTTCCTTCTGATTTTAACAAAACAAAATATTAAAATTACGATGAATGAGTCAAGTTAATTTAAATTTCCTTGAAAAATAATTTAAGTCATTATAACAAAGATAAACAAACAAAACAGTGATAAAAACATGTGCAATTGTTGGTAATCATATCCATTGTACGGATCATATTATCCATTAAAACATCCAAGTCCAATCCAATTTCCCGCGCGGAATTAAAAAAAAAAATAATTTGTAGGCTATGTGTTCTCCCACACTATATTCTACATCTATGATAAACAGTGAGATCCTTGCAGACGTTCTGACACCTCCTAACAAATACCCATCTATCCATTCATCTAGTCCTTTGGATTAACATTAGTAAGATAATATAAGTAACTGATAATTGTCTTTCTCAAACACAAAAAGTTGTTCTCAAATTATATCCAAGAACCTCTTTCTCTAATCATCAGTTAACCAAAATAAACATTTATCTAAGTACTGTTATGAATCCATTAAATACAATTACATAAAAACACTTCGTCGTAACTCGAACATCGTGACCGAAGAAGCGAATCGAACAGATATGAACATGTTTCTCACAGTTAAAGCCAAAAGAGAAAGCTTTAGACACGCGGCCTACTATTAATTTATGATATAAAAAACAATAACATAAAGGTGGTAGTTAAATATATTAACTGCCTAAACGATTTTTGTTCCTGCCGCACTATGTGTACATGTATTGTACTAAGTCTGCACTAAGCGCTGATAATCAATTAATATTCGTACCAATGACATACCCTTTAATTTATGAATGAAAATAACATTTAAAATTAAAGTATATAAAATAAAAACTTATATTACTGATATTATAAATGCGATTTTTTTAATGCGGGCGACAGCTAGTTAAAACTATACATATAAACAAACCTTGTACAGCGGCATCTAGTTGTCGTCGTCTGGCATCAACAGTGTCTCTCGCGTCCGGTGTATACTGTGCCAGAGCATTTGCTAGCTTAGCGGTGCGCGCGCGCAGTCCGGAGCTCTGATCTACTCCCAGTAGACCGACCAGTCGCCACGCAACCGCCTCGCATTGCAGCTCCGGACGGGGCTGGACTTCTAACGAGATTAACCTAAGAGATAGAAAGAAACATTTATGATTAGCGCAATTAAGCTTTAGACTATTTTTATCTCTTTCACAACAAAGGTCTTTCGTATAGTGCATCCTTCACTAATTACCAATAGTTAGGTTAAACGTTAATCTATCCCTTTCCCACACACTGTCTTCCGCCATTTGCATCTTTCTCTTATTCCCTAAATTGACAACTGAGAGCAATATCCGATAGATGGCAGTGTTTTGTCATAGAAAGGATAAAATGATTTAAGAAAGACTTACTAAATAAGAAAGTTAAGTTAAACACTTGAATCATGTGTACAAACTTTAAGTTAATGATACCATTCACTTAAAGGTCCTTTCACTTTTTTATTCTTAGAATCCTATAATTTCTACTATAAACATATAGACCAGACAGACAGACAGACATATGTAAACAAACTCTACTCTTAGTGTTGCCACTATAATATCTATTATTCCATAATTTTATTTGTATATTTAAAATTACTTATCGGGTCAATTAAAGACACACAAATTAAACTATAATCATTCATTCAAACTTTAATTGAGAACAACCGATTTAATAAATAGATATTTAGCTTTCTTTCAATTCCAAAGTAATGTAGGTCAATAAAATTGTACAATTTGTTATAAAATAAAAGATTTTAATAGAAAGTTAAAATGCAACAAATTCTTTTATGGAATATTCGTTGTCCGCACACATTATTTGAACATTTTCATATTTTGCATAACATACATATACATTGTAATATCAACTTCAAATAAATGTTTCACAAATGTTTAACGACAAAAAAAATCTTTTAAATTTTAAAAACCTCTAAAATAAACAATTACTTAATAAGATGAGAATTCATGTTTATAAGAATAATAAATAGAAGATAATTAATTAAGAAGCTTATTTATTTCGTACAACAGATTAACATAAGATCATCTACGTGAAAAGTACGATGAATCCAAATCGATTAAGAAAAATCCTACCAAAAAAATCAATAAGGGTCCAATATACTAATTGTGAGAGAGTATAATTAACACGAAATCGATAACATGGTTACAAAAAATACGAGACGGCCGGTCTAGCCGGTGTGCCCCCCCCCCCC